CTTCGCAGACCATGAATATTTGTAAAAGATATATTAAAACATTTAGGTGCTGGGGATGGTTTTTTAGGTTTAAAATTTTTGGTTACTTTGGTCATGATTTGGGTTTAATGAGAACTTGACTCATTCATAGATAGAGCACAGCCTCCTAATCAATGAGCTATGCAGTTGTCTCAGTCCTGTTAATTAACCTTAAGCCATGACATAGGGCTCCTTATGTGGCCTTGACAATGCACACCAAAAGCATTAACAGGGACACCATCCATGCGCAACATGGCACTGTTAATACTCTGATATTTTGCAGCTGTTGATGGAATCCGCCTCTTTGAGAGCTACCACAGAGTTTAGGTAACCTTACTAGCTGTACCCTCATATGGAGATAAAAGGAAGAGTTGGATAGCCATTATCAAGGAGGCATAAGCAAAATTCTATGAGTAGAGTTAAGGAGATCCAGCATTCATCATCCTAGGCAGGAAACAATGTAACACAGGTTACATTTACGCCAGCCTAATAGATAAAGAAGAGGTTCGAGGCTGGTTAGCAGAATTTTTCTGCTTACCCCTAAAGTCTTTGCCTAGGAGGCCTTCTACAAGACAGTAGCTGGATGCAGTTAACATCTGCCCAAGATGAGTATTTTTATCGAGACACCATCTCTAGCCTTTACTCAACCAAGAGCCCCAAGGCAGGGGATGTTTAGCTTGAGTTTATTTCTCCTAGCCTTCGCCTAAGAAGAGCACACTCTGCAAGGCAGCAGGGCTTGTGGCAGGTGGTACTGAGTTGCGTGATACCAGTAGCAAGATTGATCTTGATTATCCTGACCTGACCTGGAGTAGTTAAAAGGAGTTACTTCCCGCAACAGTACTTTGAGAAAACCAGGCATGACATTTTAGAAGTGCATAGGAAAAACACTGCATCCAACAAAATACAGGAGTCTAAAGTGAGTGTAGGTTTTGTAGTTGGAGTAAGTAGCTAGTTACTAAGCTCCCGCTGCATCAGAGAATAAACAGAACACAAACAAACATAAATCAACTTATGGGTGAGTCAACACAACGTCAGAGGTTCAGACAGAACACAAACATACATAAAAAACATGAACAGGGAAGTTTACAGGGAAGGGAAACTAAATATTCCAGCTGACACATTTTCTAGAATACATTGCTCAGCAATAAACACTTACAACTTAATTCAGCTTCATCAATTACTCAGTTATCCTGGAGTAACTAGATTTTATGCTTTTATTAAAAATTGTAATTTACCTTTCTCAATTGATGATGTTAAACCAATAACTAATCAGTGCAAACTATGTTGTGAATGCCTAAATACTACAAACCACTAAAATCTAATTTGATAAAGGAGACACAATCACTGGAACGTTTGAACTTAGATTTTAAAGGACCTCTTCCTTTGAAAACTAATAAAGAGTATTTTTTAACCATAATTGATGATTATTCTCATTTTCCCTTTGCAATCTCATACCCTAAAATTTCATCTCAGACTGTAATTAAATGTTTGTCACAAGAATTCTCGATTTTTGGTTTGCCAAGTTATATTCACTCCAATAGAGGTTTAGCCTTCATCAGTAAAGAATTACTTACTAGAATACTTACTAGAGAAAGGTATTGCAACAAGTCATACTACAGCATATGAGACTTCTAGACAACACAATTTACTCATCAAAGGTTGGAAAAAGAGTATTGCTAGATGCTCTCCATTTTATAAGATTCTTAATAAATACTAAAACAATGGAGACACCTCATGAAAGAATGTTTAAGCACCTTCCTAAAACAGCCACTGGATGCACTGTACCTTCATGGTTAAGTCATCCTGACCAATACTAATGAAAAGACATTTACGTAATAATAAGTATGAACCACTGGTAGACAAAGTTCAACTCATAGATGCTAATCCTCAATATGCTCACATAAGGTATCCAGATGAAAGAGATACCACAGTTTCATTAAGACACTTAGCTCCAACAAGTTCTGCTCAGATCATTGACCAAACAAACCATATTGAATCTTCACCAGAGATTGCTTTTAATAAACCTTCTTACCCTTATAAACTGATAACATCTGAGAAATATGGACTTACCAATACCATTCCTGAAAACTCTCTTATCAACCTCCACTAGAAGAAAATCTTGTAAATGATTCTTGTCTGATCGATCCATTGTTATCAATAACACCTGGAAAAGACACACATAGTTTCTCAAAAGTAAGTCAACGACCATTACAGCTTATAGAAGAAGATACATGAAGAACTTTGTTTATATTATGTTCTGTTTATATTATGGCTGCAGAGAATGTTGTGTTTTTATTATTTGCTTTGTTTATTTTAGAGTAGAAAAACTTATAAAAATTAAAATTGTTGTTGTTCTTTATACAAGTGTTTCAACTACTTTACAAAATAATTTTTTTTTTGCCTATTACAATTTAAGATTTAATTTTATATAATTTAAAAATGCTGAAGTCAAAAACAATACCTTTTTTTCATTGGACATCTGATTTTTACAATAAATGAGATTTTAATAAGTTTATACCATACATTTCAAGGGGTAGCTCCATAAGGAGGGGAGGCATGGCGAACCTGACTCCCTACCTTACAACATTGTTTTTTTTTTTTTAATATGTTTAATGACCTGAACATCTCTTTTCAATGACCAGCAGTTGTCAGCCATCATATAAGCAGGGCTGTGGAGTCGGAGTCGGAGTTACAGAGTCACGACATTTTTAGCGGAGTCGGAGTCGCGACATTTTTAGCGGAGTCGGAGTCGCTTAACAAAATCGCGACTCTGACTCCAATAGTAAAACTTCTAGGTATTGCACGTGCATGTACAAAACATTCAATTAACCTCATGTTCATACTAAACCTCAAAGGACGTTTCATAAAATTATTATCTTATTGCGTAATATTTTCGAAAGAATTCAAAGAATTTTTCAAAAATTTTGCTTTGGAGTTGGAGAAAAAATGGATTATGACTATACTTTCTATTTTACTATTAAATGTCTTATTTTCTATGTTTCAACAAATTTTAAAAGTTATCCCTCAAAAAATGCACATGCACCATTGTTTTAAAGCTTTTTTGCTTTTTTACAGTGATCTAACTTGGTGTTCCCACTATATTGATTGCACTTAGTAACCTATACTGATATAGATTATACGGTTTTTTGTGTTTAGTGTGGTGGGATTTAAAATGCAAATAAAAACAAAAATTTAAACAAATCAAAGGATCAAAGAAATACTTCAGGCACAATTTAAATACATAGTAACAACTAGAGCTGTAGAGTCGGAGTTGTGGAGTCAGAGTTGCAACATTTTTAGTGGAGTCGGAGTCAGAGCTGCTAAACAAAATTGGGACTTTGACTCCAATAGTAAAACTTCTCGGTATTGCATGTGCATGCACAAAATATTTAACCTTCAAAGAATTTTTCAAAAAATTTGCTTTGGAGTCGGAGTCAGATTTGCAGTTGTACTCTGAAAATTTCAACAATTGGAGTCGAAGTCTGAATTTTTTTTACAACTCTGCACCCCTGGTAACAACCATAAACCTCAAAAATAATACATTTATAGTACTTATTATTTTTTAATCAATAAAATAAAAATACAAGTTTTGAATGAACTTTTTAAATTGTCACTGTAAAATAAAAATAATTTTTTAATTGATTTTTGTTGATTTCCTGGGTATTTTTTGAAATGAAACCAATTCCAATTAAAGAATCAAAGTGTTACAATTTAGAAAACCAGCTTGGTTGCCTTGATTGGAACAAAATGGTACCTTTGCAAAAAATAATTTATTTTTGATAACAGTGCAATCAATTAAGTCAAATTATTATTATAACAGTAAAATACATATTTCTTATATAAATACGCTATAATTTATAGCATATTTATGTAACAAATTGTTACCCTATTTTTGTTACATTAATTTATACAAAATTTTCAGAAACAAACAATAATGAAAAAAAGGTTCCTGCCTCATGCCAACTCTCAGTTGATGTAGCAACACTCCCTTGCGGCATCAGGCCACAAGGGAGTGTTGTGAACATGGTTCTTGTGTACAATAATCATTATAAATACCTGGGACATCTGATCTTTAATAATATGCATGCTGAAATCGTCTACATGTTGCATATAGTAATGTACTTCGACTGATTCTAAGCAAACAAACTTTGGAACAGTGTAAGCAAAGTATTTTTAAGGCATGGTGGCCATACACTAATGGATGAGAACTTATTGAGAACTTCATCACAAAATCTTTTGTAAACTCATACAGGTTCTTGCAATCTCCATTCATAAATAAATGGAGAGCAGAGTTATACTTATGATACTTTTATTTATTACTTTTACTTATATTTTTTACATTGTAATTATCTTATTCTCTTTATTTTATTTACTGTATCCTTATTAATTTTTTTTTGGGAAAGGCCTTGAGTCTGTAAATAAAACTTAAAGTTTTGAAATGAAACTTTAAGTATTAAAGTTCATGGGACGTTCATTCATTATGTTAGCAAAATAATGGTGAAAAGAAGTGTAAAGAAGTTAGACAATAATTAGGAAATTATAGGGATACCTATTATTACTATTATAGGAATTCCTATTATTGTTTTGTATTAGGAAATTATAGGTTTTGTATTAGGAAATTATATTTGTATTAGGAAATTATAGGGATACCTATTATTACTATTATAGGAATTCCTATTATTGTTTTGTATTGTTGTAATAGCTATTTTATTTTTAACTGTTTGAAACAATTTTTTACATCTAAATTTAATGCATTGGTTTTAGCATAGAAAGTCAGAGTTTTATCTGATTATCTTTAATTTATTAAACAAAGTGTATAGATCACGGACTGAATCGACTGTAATCAGTTTTTTCATATTCAACTTTTTAATTAAATTATAAGTCCAAAAAGAATGTTTATAACAAAAAAAAATTATTTAAAAAATGCTTATAAAAAGTTTCAAGCAAATATTGAAACTACGAATTTCAAATTTATTACTTACAAAAAAGTTGATTGTTGCGTGTGTCATTTCTTTTTTTTTTTTCTTTTTTTTATTAAATAAAATTTTTTTTTTTAAAAAAAAGTTTTATTAAATGTTATAATCTTAAATTAAGAAAACGGTTTGCCAGTAGAAAATTCGCTAATATTTTATATATTTGAAATATATTTTTTCACGTTACTAGAGGTACAAGATGTTCTTATAAACATAATAAGATGATTTTTTGAAATAAATATTAAAGTTAATTTTAATAAAACATCGTTACACGACCCCAAATTAGATCTCGCAAGTACTCCTGAAAGTTGGAATTGCTAAATTTTAATTTTAAAATATTATGAAATTCTAAACATATTATACCAGGGAATAGATTGACCACCACTTTTTAAAACGGATTCCTTATATACAGTGAGGCGCAAATTTATATGCTCACCCAAAGTTCAAGATCTCACAAAAAATTAAATAAATATTTTTAAATTATTTAATTACTTAATATCTTCCTTGATTAATATTTCATTTGTAATAGAGTCTGGTTTCATTTTGTTAATTGACTTGAAAATTTTAGAAAAATGATGGTGCAAAATTATAACCTCATTTCAATTTTATTCTACAAAATTCCATAATGTTTTGTATTGCAATTTGAATTTATTACTTTGTTTTATTGTCGCCATTCTGAATAACTTTAAATATTCGATTTGGCATACTTTCCAAATGTTTTCTAAGATCTGCAAGAGATATGTTCTTCCAAACATGTACAATTGCCTTTTTCAATTCATCGACATTCGAATATTGTTTCCCTTCTGCATAAACACATCTTGCTAAGATGCCCTATACATTTTCGATGGGATTTAAATCAGGTGAGAGCGCTGACCATTCTAATAATTAAATTTTCTTGCTGGTAAACCATGAGATATTTGACTTTGCTCTATGAATTGGAGTATTATCTTGCTGGAAAATAAAATTGGTGTTACCAAATTTTTGCGAAATATCATTTAAATGACCATTCAACAAATTTCTATATCCTTCAGCATTTAATATAGTAGTAATAAAGCAAATCGAAGTTTTTTTCAAAATAACTGAACGCGCCCTAAATCGTTGCTCCTCTGCCTCCCATAGCCCTTCTTTTTGAAAATATTTTCTCTTTTCTAATGTCATGTCAGTATTAATTGAAGCCATCTGAACCATCAAGATTGAATTTTTTTCATCGGACCATACAATTTTTTGTCATTCTTTTTCCCAAGTCATGTTGTCCTTGGGCCATTGAAGACGTTTGATGCGTTTATATGCTTCAAACGTCTTCAATATGCTTAAGAATTTACTGCTATTTTTGATGGCTTTTGATTCAATTTAGATAACAAGGTTATAATTGTGCATCACGATTTTAAACGGTTTTATAATTTGAGTCAATTAAAATATAAATAGATTCGTGTAAATTATTTTGTTTATTTCAAAAAATGATCAACAAATAGAATTTGATGAATAAACTTTGAAAGATAATTTTAAGGTTTCTATACAGGTGAGGTTATAATTCTGCACCCCACTGTATATTACGAAACTGATCGACATCTGAGGTTTGAATCCGTTAATTAATGTCTTCTAAATATAAAGTGAAAATCGTTTATAAATTATAATACCCTGGTAGACTGTTTATAAATTATAATACCCCAGGTAGACTGTTTATTTTTTTACATCAAAAATGCCCGATCCCTAACAAGCATAGGCGTAGAGTTTTAATTTTTCCGGATTGGGCTTAAACTAATTGGTAGATGTTGAAACTCTATAATAAGCAATAACAAATCTTTTCAATGAGCATAAAAATGTAATTTATTTTCTCAAGTAAAATGTGTTCATAAGTATGGAAACATGCATTATAAACTCATCGATCAAATGATAAGATCAAGAGTTTAAGCAATATCGCAATGGCAATTTAAAAGAGCTAGATAATTCAATCGCTCTTAAGACATAGTAGAACGCAAATAAGTGTTCAACAAGAAAAAGAGCGCTAACACGTACAGGAGGTGACAGGCGTACATAGCAATATCTTCACCAGTTTCACATACTCGGCAATCAGTGGAATTAATTGAGAAAGGGCACCATTATGGTCTACAAGTTTGCTTTAAAATGATTTTAAATCATTTAGTTCAATATTCTTGAACTTGGCATGATCCACAAATATACTGCGATGTAGTTTTAGCCTTCTATAATCTTCAAAGTCATCTTTCTAAAAATCTCAACGAATCCTACATCCAAGGACTGACCAATGAAACATTTTTCTACATTAGTTAAATCCTCAGTGGTTTCAGTCGGTTTGTTAAGGTTAGTCTTACGTTTTCCACCTCGTTTTTCAACTTTTGATTTATAATTTATGGCATTTGAAATCATCTTTGCTGAACATCCAAAAGTATTTTGCATATATGAGTAAGATTTACCCTCTCTATGCTTCTAAAATAATGTAGCATTCTGTTGGTGTACAATGACGTCCTCGGCCCACTTTGAAAGGTTTAGAAAAAACTTTTACCATTGAACATACACAAATAAATAAAGAATATTATAAGTGAAGTAATAATTACTTTCCGTGTACGAAATTACGAAAATCTCTTTAAATTTAATAAACTAATTTTAAAGTCAGTACAACCTATTTTAAAGCACTCCCTTAATTTCAGTGTTTTATCAAAAATAACGATATTCTTGGATATATTGAATTCTCATTGTCAATTTACTTATCTCATTCTTATATATACGCACAAAAAAAATAATCTTTCTATATTATACAGGAGAGTAAAAATGAAATAGGAATATTTTTTTAGTACTGCTATTTTCATGCTCACAAAAAAATCAAGGTGACTTTTTTTTTTTTTTTTTTTAAATATAGCTGTGAGCATGAAAATAGCTAAAAAATTATTCTTATTTTTATTATTACTCTCCTGTATAGTATAAAAATTTCACTAAAAAATTCACAACTTTAGAATATAGACCATGATGACCACAGACTTCGCCGGAAAAGCAACAGTTTCACTTTAGTTCCACATCTATTCTCTTCGTAAAATTATTTTAATGATACTTTGATAATTATGAAATGATAGCTTGATGACACATACCATACCTAAAATATTGTTTTGACATCATTCTTTAGAGACAACTTAGTGTTATTAACTAATAAATGTAATATGAAGTGCAGACAACTTTATTAGTAATTCTCTGAATACATGTAGAATTCCCTTAAAAACTACGCAAATTTTGAAATTTTGAAATTTTGAAAACGGAGTACATCCTTTACAGGTCAACTATTTGAATTTTTTTTTTGTGATTTGAAAACACCTATTATAGGGTTTTTCTTTCCAGGAAGTCGTTATCCTTGTTTTGCCATATTTAGTGAGAATTAGCAGAGTGAATTTTCTGATTTTTTTAATGATTTCCCTTAAAAACTACAATGAACATAATTGTATTTATATGGATGAAAAATTTCTGAAAGTTATAAATTTTCTAATTATATCAGAAATTAGTGTAGTATGATATGTAAGGAGGCTTGCTAACTTAGTCCAACAAAAAATAGCATTTTAGATAGTAAAGTCCTTTAAAACACAATTTCCTCCTTAATTACTACATTACATTAGGTAAAATATGCCTCCACAAGCTCACTTAGAATAGCCAGGAATGGAAAGAATGTTTATACTGATCTTCTTTAACTAAGAAATGGTAAAATGGTTATAACTGGTACCTTTCTGTTCATTCAAAGTTTATAAAACTATCACCAAGTGCAAAAACAGCCTTACAAAATGGAAGGTAAGTAAATTTTTTTTAAACTAATTTATCAACATTCAAACAGGTAAAAAGGTACAGTAGATATTAAATAGATGTAAAATACTGAGCCTTATTATCCAAACTATTTAGACTCGGGAAATCATTTTGGAGAAGATAGCATGCTGAACATGATGATATTGCCATTAAGAGGCAAGGCCGAATTAAAATGAACAGAGCCCTAAATTGTACTAGGGAGATGGCTACTGATCATCTAGGTACACATTTTTTATCACATATTGTTTTTTTAGTTTAGCCTGAATATAAAAAGATCTATTTTCAATTTCATTCTCAAGTGTTCTACAACTTGGTTTTTATTCTTGAATAAGTTTATACGTTTTGTACGTTGATAATTTATATAACTTGATTATATTACTAATTTTACAACTTTTTTTATTCCAGATGCCTTAGCTGATGAACTGATTGCTTGTAGTATAATGAAGAACTATAAAAAAATAAAAAATGGTGTATGGGTTGGTGATATTGCAACAGAAAGAGTTTTCAATTATGATGAAACACCACAGTTAGTCAACTACGGTGTAGATGGTGCTGCCACTGGGTTAGTTTATACTGGCAAAGGAGAGACATGTAAAAAAATGATTCGCGAAAACAGAGAGTGCATAACTATAAACCCATTTGTTTCATTATCAGGTGAGCCAACTATACAACTTTTTAGAACTAAAGTTGTGGCTTTTATAGTTTTATATTTTAAAAAGTGAAATATAATATTTATACTTTTAGGGGAGGTTTCATTGTGTCAGGCAATATTTGCTGGCAAAGGCATAACCAGCCAGATGGCACCACAAAAAGCTATCAGTAACATCAAAAATTTGATCATCTCCACGACAGAGAGTGGTTCGCAAGATAACTGTTCATTATTGGCTGCGTATAAGAAACTTGATAAACATCTCACCGAATAAGGTATAGAGCGACCAGTTGTGCTTCTATCAGATGGTCATTTGTCGCAATTTGACTTTAAAGTTCTAAATTTTTTGTGTGAAAAGCAAATCAATTTATTTGTGTCTCCGCCTGATACTACTGGAGTCACACAGGTACTAGACCAAGCATCAAATCAACAGCTCCATTGATATTATAATAACACCTGAGATGTACTCTTTTCCTCTTTCCAGACAATAAATCGAGAAAGATTCATGAATATCTTAGGAACAATGTGGAACAATAGGGCATCCGCTGCCAATATTGTAGCAGCTGCTAAGAGAATTGGTATACGTAAGAATGGTCTTAATGTTGATAATATGCAACAGGATAAATTTGAACAAGCAGCTCTCCTTATTGATAAAAGTAATGATGTTTCTCTTGAACCTTCTACTCCTAAGAAAACAAGAAGTGTGACCTCAAAAGACGGCCCCTTGGCAACAACTCCAAGATCACAATCCAAAGTCGCCCAAACAAAAGGAAGGTGTGGTTCAGCCGAATATTGGAAATCAATGTATAAAATGTCATTGAGGAATCGTATGAGAAAAGCCTCAATTTAGCAGAAGTGCCTGGTTTACTTTCAGTAAACCGGGTAAAACCCAAGGAGGTTAATCAAGGAAAAACAACAAGAGTCACTAATGTGCAAGGATCTAGGGAGGCTCAAGATGTGCTTTTAAAAGTGGTTTTCTTGAAGGAGAAAAACAGAAAAAAAAATCATGATTCAGAGGAGAAAAAGAAACATAAGCTTAAAGAAAAAGAACTGTTTTATCGTTCCAAACTGATGTATCGTTCCAAACTAATGTCTAATGTAGAAGAATGTCTTGCAAAATCTTTAAAAGAGTGTTTGCAATGTCATTCCATTCTTAAATCTGTATGTAGTAAAATGGCTTGTCATATTGATAAAAAAAAGCCGACAATGATTCTCTCTGCATCTGCAGCATCATCCTCTGATTCTTAAAAAAAAAACTCTATTTTGGTTCTGATTCAAATGAATCTTAATGACTCAAAGATATTTCTTTAGATAAAATGTTTGTTTACTACATGTCTCTTTTTTAAAATATTTTATGCTATTCATATTTTTTTGTCATTTTATGTTATTCAAAAAATAGTTATTGTTGTTATTAAAGCTGTTATTGTGTTGAATAACTTTAAACAATGTATATTTTGAGTAATAGGAAATATGAAAAATAATAAGAAAAGCATTTTCTTATTATTTTTCATATTTCCTATTATTCAAAATATACATTGTTATTGTATTAAAAGCTAGATTTCCTATTTTAAAGCTACTGACCCCTTAAAAACTACATCCATAGTACTGCGAAAAAAATACAAAATAAACACCTTTAAGAGTTTGTAAATTAGTTAATATTACATTGATGGATTAGAACAAGTGTAACATTATCTAGAAATAAGATAATTGCAAACTTAAAATTAAACTATTAAACAGTAGGAGGTAATAATCCATAAATTGAGCCATTTTTAAAACTGAAAATTTGATTCGCATTCTCTTTTTGAGGAATTTAAAATTATAAGAGAGGTAAATTTTTAATTAATTTGTCATCTAGGACGTTTAAAGATAGTGATTCAATCATTATTTAATAATTTCATTGTCATTAGTGGAACCCAGTTGAAAGTTTATATGTGTAGTGTTTAAGGGGGTATGTGTTTTTAAGGGAACTCTACCTGTATACGCGAACATTATTGCTTACTCAACATTTGAATAAAATATGACGCATAATAAATGTACATTACTAAACCGCCGTGTTTCAAATATTTGAAGAAATCCTGAACAACAGGGCAGGATTGAAAAGTCGTTTTTTTCAAAAGGAATAACCTTTGTAAACTAAAAAAAAAAAAAAAAAAAAACGTTAAAAAGGGAGCAAAAATATCTAACAAACTACCTATAAATATTTATTTAATTTTGAGAAAAGAGAGTTCTAAATTTTTAGTTATAGGCACTAAAAACCTGTGTCACGGAAGGAATGATAGGTTTTTTCCGTGACATAAGTTTCAATGGCTATAACAAAAAAATTATTATTCTACATGTAACATCTTTACCTCGAAACTAAATAGGTCTTTATAGGTAGCATGTTAGGTATTATTGCCTCCTTCCCAGTTAGCACGGACGTTAAAAAGACGTCTTTTTAACGTCTCATACACGTTTTGTACGTCTTTTGAACGTTCAAAAGACGTCTCTACTAGGTCCAGTGCCCACTGGGTTATAAACGTTTTAATTTTTTAAAATTTTTACAGTCATTCCGGGTAACTTTGAACGCTTTGCGCTAGGTTTATCTCAACAAATTTTTTTTTACAAACTAGTTAACAAATATTTTTACATAAAAGGTGTTCTGATGATCTCTTTTTTCTAGTTTGTTATCATTTTTTTTAATTTGCTAGTTATTTTGTTAAAAAACAAAGTTCAAGTAGGGATTCAAAGTTACACTTGCATTTAGGGTAACTTTGAACACTATTAAATTAAATGTCAATTTTAATCAGTTAAATCTAAAAAGTTGTTTAAATTTCGTTGTATTAGCTCAAATTAATTTTTTAAAAAATCTAATTAATCTATATTGAGAATAAACAAACAAATTTTTCAATAAATTATTACAAATCACTAAATGAACTTGTTAATCAATTTTTAAGGTTATGAAAGAAAAAATAATTAAGGCATCATTTCTATATAATTCTACACAAATAAACACCTGTGACTATAAAACTAAATATTTCAGTGTTTAAGTCCATTATTTTAGTCTTCATTATTTTAGTCTTTAATAGCTTGATTAACATCTACAATGCTTGAACTTTGTGAAACATTTTTTTTGTTTATTTTCATAATTATATTTTTTGATCCAAGTGGTCTTCCTCTTTTGTTTGTTCGAATATTATCTTGATTTTTTTTTTTTTAATTGTCTCTTAACTTATAGTATGCTTCTACCTCAGTGGCTGATACACTTTTCCCTGCTGTTATTGGTAATTTGAATTTTTTGCTTGCTTCATAATTAAGATTAGATGTATGAATTCCATCAATATATTTCCTAAACGATTCTCCAATGTTGAGATGAATATCTATATTTGTAAAACTGGGTAATTTCGAGAGAACATGTTCAGGGTTGAATGGATATATGCCAGTAGCCTTAAATCCTGCTTGTAGATTATGTTCTAGATTTTCTTTACCAACATTAAGAGTAGATTTAATAAGCTGCGAAAACAAATTTTTTGGTAGGTTATTAACTTTTTTCCCACGGGATGTTTTACGCCATTGGTTAAGAACTGACCTCCAATTAGCTTTTAAACTCGAGAAATACCCAACATCTAGAGGTTGTAAAAGGTGTGTGGAATTGGGTACCAAACATATAAATGTTATATTATGCTTTTCACATATATTTAAGACTTTTAAAGATATGAGCACTTAAATTCTCACAAATCAGAATTTTTTTACCTTCCTTATTTATAATATTTGGAACAAAGTGATTTAACAGCCACTCTTCAAATATTTGAATTTCCATCCAGCCACTGCAAGAAGTTCCCATTCTTGATCCTTCTGGTGCATTAAAAAGCCAGTCAGACCAACTGTGTTTTCCTTTAAAAATGAAAAATGGTGGAATTAGCTTTTCTGAGGCATTTCTACAAAAAACAACATGTGTAACAAGATTTTGTAGTGTTTCTTATAAGTTCTGGGTGGCGAGAGGATCGACGAAAAATAATTTTTTTTTCCCAGGGTCGTCATGAAACCCTGTTTCATCCATATTATAAATGCTATCTGGCGTTACTCCATTTAATTCCTTCTCTAGATTTTGAAAAAATAATTCTATTTGACAATAATTAACCTGTGCACGTTTCCTTGAAATACAATAAGATACTTTTTCTTTTAATGATGGATGTCTGTCAAGATAAAGTCTACACCACTCCCAACCTGGTCGGTTATCTTTAAACTGTTGTATATCTTTTCCACTATCATCGAGATAGTGGAGTTTTTGACAATACTTTTAAAATCATTAATTCCAATTGATATACCTTTGTGACTTAAATAAAGTAAATGATTTTCAAAACAAAGTTTCTCATCAATGTTAAGAGCAATAGGGCGCCCTACTGATTTACAGTGTTAAATAAATAATGTTGTTTTAGGTACTTTAAAAATGTTAGAAGCTTCACCAATCGACATGTTTTCTAATTTAATTTTTGCTAATGCCTCTTGAAGTGTAGCATTTGAGTAATTAGATATTGTGCCGTATTTTCTAGTGCTAGGATGAGTTGTCAAACTTTTTCTTGGCATTTTAAGAATGCTAAAAATATAGAGATAATTGCTGTTATTAATGAAAATTATTTAATTAATCGCATATTTGCTATTAATAAATTAAGTTTTTAAAACTATCAAAAAAGCCATAAATATCAAAACTTAAAATAGCAAAATACATTACCAACAGATGTTTTAATTTATGATATTATATATTATATATATATATATATATATATACATATATATATATATATATATATATATATATATATATATATAATATATTATTACATAATAAAAACACTATAATAAAAAGATGTCTATTGTATTTATTATACATTATTGCAATGTAACTCAGACAGCAAAAAAAGCACTTTTAGGAAACATTGATTATTTAAAGTTACCCTGATTTGGGTTATATCTTAGCTAAGTAAAAATAAATATCCTTTTAGTAGCAAAAAATATGTTATTTCCTATTATTTTGAGTTTTTATTAAAATTCGAAAAATAATTCAATAAAATACTAAAAAATCTATTCTATTTGATATTTACAATATAGTAACAAATATTCTAAATTGATAACACACGATATTATCACCACATTCGACTGTGTAACTGAAAATCGAGGGAAAAAATATTTTTGGGAAAAAAAATTCAATTATCTATGGTCAAACTTTTGTAAAAAGGATAATTTATCATATCCTTTGTTAAAGCAACAGGCAAAGAAAATACCAAAGAAAAAAAAAATTTAAAAACATTTACACGTTTTATTCAATGTTACGCGCAAATTCAAAGTTACCCAGAATGACTGTAATTCATTTAAAAAGGTCATTCCTTTTGAAAAAAAGACTTCAATTCTGCCCAACAGTTGTTGCTGAAATTGATTAGTTTCCGCAATAATTGCTTTACAAATTTAACTTTGTTGTTACAACAGACGTTAAGTTGTGCAACTTACGCTAGAAAATGTTTTTATTTTTCGTACAACTATTAGAAACCAAGCTTAATAGTTGACTACCAGCACATTAAAAACACTTTGTTTATTTACAATTATTTAACAGAAAGTTTATATATGTATCGTTAAATTTTTATAGAAAATATTTTACATTTTTCATTCGTATCGTATTCGTTTTTACAAACAGGTCCATTTATTTAATTTATTCTTTAATCCATTCAAAATGTCAGTGTATTCTGGTACTATCTATTCAATACGTCTGCTCAATTCAACTTCGTATTATTCAAATAAAGAAATGAATACAAGTACATTTGATGCGATCGCTGTTTTTTGTGCAGAATTGAAAAACTGCATTCCGCATGGCATCTACATATTTATTTTCATGACAACGGTTTAATCATCTTCTGTGTGATGCATGGCGAAGAAATTCTTCTGCTGCAACACGAGTTGGATCATACTAAAGCAAATTAAAAAAAGTATAATTTAACCATGCGTGAGTCTTATTATTTTACTATTATTTTTCTGTAAAAAATAGCCTGTTTTTAACCCATTACCTTTAACCTATTTTTAGCTCCAACCATGGAATCGCCCTGAACATAACTCACATCATTATATCGTTTTTGAATGTATATATACATACAAAAACATACATACATACGATTATCTGTATGATTATTTTACCTAAAGTACTGCTTGGATTGAATTGATTATTATTAAATGATGCTTTTCTATATGAAATTTATTTAAGGTATAAATTACATACATACATACATACATACATACATACATACATATATACATACATATGTAAACGCTCATATTCCCATGGTTAGAAATTAGAATAATTTTTAATTTTTCTAACTATTATCTATTATAATTATCTAAATAAGCATACTTGTGCAGGCCTCCCACTTGATACAGGATAGTTTGATGTGTGAGCATAACTTGATGAATCAACACCCTATTAAGTATAAAATAAAACACCCTATAAACGTACAAAAAGATTAAAAAAAAATTTAAACGAACTTGATGTTCTTAAAGAGTAATCAGGAAGCTTCCTGATGAAACTACAGAAGGAGAAAAAAAATTTGATAAGTGTTTGTACTAATAAATAAAATATATAAATAAAATGTATAATATATATATATATATATATATATATATATATATATATATATATATATATATATATATATATATATATATATATATATATATATATATATATATATATATATACTAACCCGCATTTGCTTGTGTCTTTGAAATTCTCTAACATAATCCGAATATGATCCATTAAGTAATGTTTCTTTTCGAACCCCAAATTTCGAGCTTAAAAATAAATTTTTTGAGGAAACCTTTAGCAAATTTTCAACATCATTTACATCATAATTTGAATAATTCATTTTATAATTGCTTTTATGATCAATTTTTTTTAATCATAAAAACACTTCCAATAGACTAAATAACCTATTTACGTAACAGTAATTCACCTACCGATCATTTTTTAAAAATTCTTTTACTTTATCGCGATGTCTTCTATCACGACTATCGCGAGCACTACGTCGAGCATCATAAGAACGCGAGCGACTATTTTCACGAGTGTAACGATCATACTTGTAGTAGGAACGATCGCGATCTGTTTCAAACTTGCCCCTACCTCCTAATTGCAAATTAGCTTAGATCACCAAACAAATAATTGAAGCAATAAAATCAAAAAAATTAAAATTTTTAAAATAGAACTAACTAAATCCTGTAGGAGATCTTCTGAAAAAGCTGGAGCGACGATCTCGACTGCTATTTTCACTTCTAATATTTCCTTGAAAACCACCTCGCCATCCTCCACGAGAACTGCCCCTAAACCTAAAGAGTGCTATGAGTGAAAAACTATTAGGATTATTTTATTTCATTTTGTTTTCCTGCATCATAAAAGAACCTAAATACCTTCAAAAGTTTTTCTTTAAATAATGTTCTTATAACTTTACCAAAAAATCTTGAAAAATCCCTTTGTTAACCCTTAAAAGGCGTGACCCGAAATAATGTTATGTAAAGATCGGCTGATAAACATTATTTCACTTCAATAAATCATGTTAAAAGCCTGTTACAGCTAAAATGGTAACTGGTAGTTGAAGATCATTAAATTTTTATCGGTATATATTTTTTTGCGGTTGAAAAGGTTCAAAATAGGACAACGCATACTTTGCAACTTCCCCACATTTCCTGTTGAACACAGTAGACCTTGTTTGTAATAACCAATAAGTAGACCTTCTTGGTGGAACACTTTACAAAAGACCTTGTAGTTGAAAACTAAAACTTATCATTCATTGCTGACAACTATGCAGAAGACCTTGTTAGCTGAACATTACAAAAAAACTTTCTTTGCAATACACTGTATAGAAGACCTTGTTTGTTGAACAATATAAGAAGACCTTCTTTGTTGAAACTCAAGATTTATACTTTAATCTTTTATAATGCAAAACGCACCCAAATCGAAAAGAACAGGCGACAAACAAAGTTGTATGCACGGTAGACACTGCAATTTGCATAATGCTAACATATTTGCAAGATACTAAAATTGACTACAAATAAATTGTAGTCTTATTTCAACATTAGTGGAAATAATTATTGCTTTTAAAGTTTTGAAAACTTAAAATGTTTATAGAAACATACTCTGTAACTTTCAACAAAAAATCGCAACGTTATAAAGTTCTGTTTTAACAATAAAACCTGAATAGTTTTAATAGTAAAGTTCATTAACTCTGCAACACAAAGTTCATTAAATCATGTTATCATAAAGTCTATTAATTTGTATGCAAGTAAACATCGGATGAAGCACCTGTAACATCAAACAGTACAATTAATCAAATAAGACGTCAATCTCTTAAAAAGACCAAATTTTGTTGTAAAAACCACTCATTTGCTTAAACATTCAAATTCATTCATTTTACATTCACTCAGCAAGAATATGGAAACATTAAATATTAAAACAAAATTTTTTTATTAAAATTGAACAATGAACAAGATTTTATGTAAAAATGGTTCTAAAAAGAGCATGTTTAACATATACCAAATTCATGGTTTAAAAAAATAAAAATGATAATTGGTAAATGTAAATATAATATTTAGTTAAAATAAACAATAAATGTTGAAAAAAAAAATACCTTGGAGGATCACTATGTTCTCTATTATGATTAGTATCACTTGAACTCTTTTTTTGTTTCAAGTGACGTGCGATACGAGATAAATCAATTGTAAAGTCATCTTCAAACATACGACATAACACTTCCCCAACACTAGGCTCTACCTCCTATATATTTATAACTAATTGTATTATAGTTTAAAAAATTTTTTGATATAAAAAAAAAACTTGTCTCTCTCGACATATTTTTACTTCTATAATATAACTGATCTGTATGCCCCGACATTTTTAATTCTTTAATTTAAAAAAATATAACTAACCTGTCTGTCTCGACATATTTTTACTTCTTCAATATAAAAAATATATAACTAACCTGTCCGTCTCGACATATTTTTACTTCTTTATTTTCATTCCATGGATTTCGCAAATTTAAACAATGAGAAAATGCAACTTCTCTTCTGCAGAACAAATTATTTTTTTATAATTCAATAACATTTAAATCTATTAAAAAGAGAGTAAGAAAGTAAAAGACAGTAAAAAAGAGAGAGAAAAAAAAAAGCGAAGTAGAAAGAAAAAAAAGTGAAGTAGAAAGAAAAAAAAGTCCACACAGATAATTATTTACAGCAGCCAATGCTAACTATCTTAAAGAAATATTCTGTTTTTATTACAGATTAAGTCTGGCTGTGTTAAAGCCCTCATTAATGGCTATTCCCATCCTAAAACCATAGACCCTCCCATAGAACCAATAGTGTTTATAAGTTATGTAAATTTAAAATCAATAGAGTCAACCTAGTAAATCAATAAAATCTAATAGTAGTTGCAATTGTGTTTTACCTTTTATGTGTTTAATAACAAGATAATTTTTAAGAAATGAAAATAATATTGGATACAATTAACTTATTTTTGAATATTCTAAAAATACTAAAAATGAAAATAATTTTTTTTTACTTAATATAATATTGTAAAACATGATTACTATTTTATGAGGCAAAAATATACTTTTATATTGTTTAACTATATTATTTTACTGAATGGTAAAATACCATATGATTGCTGTGATCAATAATAGACAAATTATTTTTTTTATGTTCTCTCGGCACTTGTCATTGGTGTTCAACTTTAAAAAACTAATAGAGTTACAATAAAATTATCACACAAAAGATTTTATTTAAAAAGAAATTCATTAATTTCAAAACAGTTTCAAAAGTCCATATATACTTTACAATGTTTCTACTGTTAAATATTTCAGTATGTTTCTTCTGTTAAACATTAAACTGTATGTTTCTACTCTTGAACATTTCACTGTACGTTTCTGATGTTAAACGTTGTACTGTACGTTTCTGATGTTAAATGTTTTACTGTAACTTTCTGATGAAAAAAGTAACTTTTAGTTGCACAGCTCACAAAAATTCCATTTTGTCACAGAATTTTACAGAATTATACAAACAAAAAATAAGGTAACAAAATTATCATTGATTTGTCAACTGAGACTACCTCTTTTCTCAGAGGTAATTTAACTTATATTTAGATATAATTTCAATTATAAACAAAGATAAATAAAGATTAGTTAGATATCAAACTCTGTTTTCTTGAAATACAAATTAAACTCGCTTTTTTACTCATAGTAAAACAAAAGCATTTTTGTATAAAAAAATATAACTTAAATACTTTTTAAAAGACATCTTTAAAGAGTTTAATTTATATAATTAAATAAATACTTTTTAAATTGATTTTTATTACAATATTTCAAGGGACTACAGATAACCTTGTTATCAAGTATAATATAAATATATAAATTTTATAACTTGTTTCCATACAAGTTATAAGAACAAATTTTTGTTTTTCTTTATCATGAGTATATTGATACTTCATAATAAGTATCATGAGTATATTTATACTTCATATGAATTACCAATTACTACAGATGACTTGTATACTTATCATTTATCATGTATACTTATCATTTATCACACTCAAACATAAATTAAAATGTTTTAAAAAAGAACATCAAAAATGTTTATTGTATGAATTCAAAGTGCTATTTTCCTTGAAGCTAGATTTTAATCAAAACAAATATTACCTATTTAGCCAATCTACTTTAAATGTTCCACTTAGAATTTTACGATCGAACCCTTGTGGTAATACCCATGGAATTGCAGGTTGATTATGATTAGATTCAGATGCCAATCTTGCAAAGCCCTGAAACCGACCACTTTCTTTGACAGAAAATATAAGAATAACATTTGTTGAGTGCTAAATTAGAAATTGTTACAAAATAATCTATTTATTTCTGAAATCATTATAGTTAACTCATAAATTAACAAAAAATTATCTAATTTATTTTTAAAATTCAATTGCTAAAGTCAAATTTACTATTTCACTTGGTGAATTATTTTAATTATTTGGTACTCTTTTTGTAATAAATTTATTTCAGGGTTCAAACTTTTATGTTCCTCTTGAAAATTTCATACTGTCACAGTCATGTGCTTCACAAATAATTAATTGGTAAACTTTGTAGGGGGGTGGCGGTATTCTATATAACTTTAATGCCCGCTGCTCATACTATTTATAAAAAAACATTAAAACTAATAAAAAAATATTTTAAGATTTTTTTATTTTTACTTTCTGATGTTTGTTTTTTTATTTAATTGATTTTAAATGTTAAAGGTAAAACCTCCAGTCAAAAAAAATGCTTTTAGGAAAAATCATTTTTTTGATTTATGAATTTGATACAAGTTTTTTTAACAATAATAAAATTTTTTCTAAAAGTGATCACAGATCAGACAATTTTGATAACAAGAGGTCACTGTGACCTCTCGTTGTGGTATTAGATTTGCAAACTGGTCATTTATAAAACTTTGCATGGTCCATAACTTAAAAAATTTTGAATATCTGAATTCCCTCTTTTTTTCTTCTTTTTTCATAATGTTATTAATCAACTAGTCTTCAGTCTTTCTTCATATGTAAACATAAATGTGTTACTCCACATAAATTGTATTTATCTCTTTGTAATTAATGGCTGATCATATGAAGCAAAAAACATTCTGCCTAATTGAGGTACTTGGATATGTGGGATGAATTTCAGTTTGTATTCATATGGAAAAAAAATATTTTGCTTAATTTAAGGTCACATGATGTTTCTTTACAAATAATCATTTATGTCAATTTTTTAACTAAAAACTTAAAATGAAAGCCAATAAAAACTATTTCAATTTACAAAAAACTATTTGATAACTTTTAACTTTTATCATATCCATAGTAAAAGTTTAATAATATTGTGTGTTTTATGAAATAAATATAAATAATTTATAATTAACTAACAAAAAAAAAAAAACTTTTGCCTTAAAAAACTTTAAAACAAAAGTTTTATAAACATGGTCAAGCAACTTAAATTTAAAAATCAAACAAATGCTATTTAAATTTTGTAACAAAGCTGTCCTTTCTACCCATGATGGTTTTCAGTTTGTGTTCATATGAAGAATTTTCACCCAGCCTAACCGAGATCTCGGTAGGTCATAGGCATGATCTCGCCTAGATGGGATGAGTAATTTTACTTGTGAACGCAATGTTAAAATTATATGCAAGCTTTCCCAGGAAACGCGTTTTTTAACTTGTAGATCAAGTTGTCTAAAATAAAATACTCACGCGTGGTCACATGAGTATTTTATTTTAGACAACTTGATCATGGCCGTTTGCAAGTTTTATTATATGAAATATTGCTGAAAAAAGTTTTAAAAATAAAGAAAGCAAAACTAACAAAATAGGAAAATAAAATAAACTTAAATTAAATAAATAATAGTTTAAATAATTTGTTTAAATAATTTGCCATATATTTATAAAATATATTTGTATTATTTTAATGTAAAAAGTATATTGTCCCTACAAGAAAATGTCTAGATAAAGCATGCGTATACTTTTATGTATAATTTTTTGTATTATATAATTATATTTATTTGATTTTCAGTATTCACAAGTTTAACTTATTATTTTGATAAGGCGTTATTTTCAGATACGGAATGTCAGTGGTTCGATTCCTTTAACTGTCCAACTTTTTCTGTTCTTCTTTTAAATAATACTGGTCATGTTTGTTTTTTAATAATTTAACTTTTCTTATTTGTATATAAAAAAATCTTTTTGTTGTATGCTTTTGAATAGTACACATCTCATCACATTCAGATTTCTTATACCATTTAAGCTTTTCAGCATATTTTTTAAGCAAGGTGCACACTTATATAAATATTTTTTAAGCTTCAATTAGGTCATGCCGCCTACACATAGCCTTAATTGTTTCATATTACCTTTCTTTTCCTGTATGTTTTTTATCCCTAATCTTTTAGTGGAGAATAAGGTGGCTTGTTTCGGCTCAACACAACCCTTCCATATTAAGAAGAAATTCAAGTTTTTTATCAATTTCTTAAAAATAAATACTTCTACTTAATTATTTAATACAATGAATAGCTGAATGTCCCTTTCATAATTATTTCAATTTTTAGATGGTTTCTTTTTAACATTTGGCTCTTTGCATGTGTAAAAAAACAAAAAGAATTTGGAAAGAGGTGGGCCATGAACTAAGGACATTCTGTTTTTGAAGTCAATGGCTTATTCAAATAAGCTAAATGTGTGTATATAGATATAAATAAATATAATTATATAATACAATAAGTATATGCATGCATTACATAGACGTTTTCATATAGGGACAATGTATACTTGTTACATTAAAATACAAATATATTTCACAAGCACATTGCAATTTATATTTCCGCTTTCCTCTTTTAAAAAAAATATAGGGAAATCATTATTTTAATGTAGATTTAAAACTATTTTTTTTTTTTTTTTTTTTTTTTTTTTTGGCTTTTGCATATTTTTGCTTTGGCTTATCTAATTTTGTTGCTGAAAATAAAAACCACTCTAAAGAAAAATAAAACAGTACACAAATTAATTAATTTTTTTTTTCCTATTTAAATTTATTTTAATTTCCTATTTTATTAGTTTTGCTTTTTTTGTTTTTGAAAATTAGTTTTTTCCGCAATATTTAATATAATAAAACTTGCAAACGGCTGTGACCAAGTTGTCTAAAATAAAATACTCACATGTGGTCATACAAGACGAAAAACCACACACATTTCCAGGGAAGGCTTGATATGAGTTTTAAAGGAGAGGCGAGATCTAAGTAGTTTTTCTATCCCAGTAGGCAGGATGAATTTTATTCATATGAACACCCCCTAAATATATAACTTAATTATTGACATTTTTTAACAGCAAAAAACATTTTGTAACACATTTTAACATATGATTATACTATTTCCTAATTCTCAATTTAATATTTTTTTTATTAATAATTTATTTTTATTAAACAGTTTTTTATGGTTGTATTTTAGTCAGTCATTATTTTTATCAGTTTTTTCACCCAGGAAAAAATATGCAAAAAATTAAAAATACCTGACAACTGATTATCATAGCAGACGAATTAAGTAAGACGTATACGATATTCCAGTCACCTGCAGGGCAACTGAGAAAAAATTGTAGTCTCTGCCCCTGCAACTTTCTGTGGTAGTTTTCCTTTTACACAATATTTTTTGAGTTTATAAATTAGCTTTTTGTACTAAGTTAAATGGAAAAATCATTAATTTGCAGACAAAGAGAAATAATGTTCAAAGTTTCTAATAAATTAGTTGTGCATGATTTATTTTTTAAAAAGCCATGCTGGTTACTGAAGATGAGTCCCTTTTCGATAAAAAAATTTTAATAATGCTCTCCATCATTTATGTTGGCAATACTGGCCTGTAGTAACAGGTGGCTAATTTATAATATCTTAAAATTGCGAATCTCAATAGTATTGGCAAATAGCTAATTTCAACTGAAGCTTTGAAAATTAAAGTTATTGCTAATGCTAATGTGGTAGAAAAACTTTTAAATATTATTAATTGAACAAGTTCTGGACCAAAAGATTTATCAGACTTTGAAATTTTTACTTTTATTAGCACATCCCTATATTTAACAATACTATCATCAATATCTATGGTATTAGTAATAGCAATATGTTTGAGGTGTGACTGATAATTCGTTGTGTGTACCAGTACACTTAGAAAGCTGTATAATTATTCAGCATAGTTGCATTTAAAATCCACATGTCATGTTTAGTTCTAAAAGAGTTCACAGAAATAACGAAATTTTTTTGTTAAATAATTTTGAGGCAAAAAACTTGTTATTTTGCGATTATATTTTATGTATATTTTCGATGACCTCTTGCTGATTGATAACTTCTTTGCAAAAATTCATTAAACTTACTTTTTCGATTCCGTTAACTTACTTTTTTGAATAACCAAAGTAGTGAGACCTGACTTATCTAATCTTTTCTTGTAACATAGCTTTTTTAGTGGTGATAATATTTTTGTAACACAATGCTGAACCTTTTCTAAAAGATTAATTTCATTTTTAAGACATGGAAGCCACACAGATATAACAAATTCAATCAACGGTCTTACAAAAGTTTTGTACATAATTTTTAGTAATTCACTGTTTAAATCTAAAAATTCATTCCTCAACATACCCAAAACTTTATTTTCTTTACTTGGACGTAGAGTTATTTGATTTTTCCATTTTAAGTCAGAGGTAAATACTACACCAAGATCTTTTTCAGCAATAGTGGTACTAAAAGGTATTTTATCTTGGGTTATTTTTACTGCTTAATCATGTGAGTGCATAATTAAGCACTTCTCAAAATTAAAATCTAACAGCCATTTGTTGGACCAGTTGACAACTTTATCAATGTCATTTTGCAATAGATTAACACTTGCTTCACAACCAACCCTTGATAATACTTATGCATTATTGGCATACATTTTTAAAATATTTACAAAGTTTTCAGGCAAATTATTTACGTAAATAATAACTAGTAAAGGGCCAATAACAGAGTCCTGTGGCAAATCAATAAATATATCCTTCCAATATGAGACAATTTCTCCTATAACAACTTTTTGTCATCTATTTTTTTAGAAATGGTTCAATTTATTTTAACAATGTGCCAGAAATCTCCAAACATTTAAGTTTTGTCAGTAATCTTTTATGGGGCACTAAATCAAATATCTTTGCGAAGTCTAAGTAAATTACATCTACAAGTATTTTCTGAGATAAGATATATACAAGATAATGCAAGATTTTTTCTTAACAAAGCCATGTTGATTTTTCGAAAGAATATTTGCATTTAGGAAATTCTTAATTAAATCTTGGGCAACCCAAAATTTCACAAA